TTCTATTAAATGTCACATGTAGTTCAAAAAAAAGTATTCATATTTTATAATGCAGAAAACCTAAGAAACTATGTTGATCAAGTGCAACAATATTTTAATGAACTCACAGAATTAACTAATAGACAATGTTAAATTCCAACTTTCCAAAGTCTCACATTTGCACTTTCAATTATCACTAGTAATAATAATCTATAAGAATGTTTTGCAATAATTTTTGCTTGAGACTATAAGGAGTTTCATAATTAGAAACTATTATCAAGCCAGAAAACAGATGACTTAAGTGGATCCCTTGATATTTATCTTCAAATCATATGACATAATCACAAGCTCACTTTACTTCTTATTCTTGAAAAATAAATGTTATTTCTACTGACAATTTCAACAGAAATAAATAAATATTGGCATAATTAAAAGTCACTTGAGAAAGCATAATCTATTCATTATCAAATTTGTATTGGTGAAATCAGTGTTAACACTACTCATTACATTTTCCTTGGTCACCATGAGCATAAAATGACAGGAAATACAGTACTGCCAAGTAGAACTACAGGTTCCCAAACTACAGCAAACATATCTTGTCAACACAGCCAGGTGCATTTTTAATATAGTTAAACCTCCAGGCATAAATCATTGTTCACAATTTTGGGTGAAGTAGCATTGCACTGTTTTCACTTTGAAGTGTATGGTATAGATGTGTCACTGATGGATATGGATATGAATAAAAATAAATATTGTATATATGCCAATAAATCACGTAACCTACAAAGTTAAATAGAGCACAATCTATGAAATTAAATAGAGCACAACCTGTGAATTAAAGTAAATCATATCCAAATAATACTTGGATAGTTTGAATGGATTTTCATCTGATCTTCTGCATTCTTCCAACTTACTCTACAGATTGGAATTCAGCTTCCCATTCCACTGAACAAAAATTATTTGGATAACCCACCAAAACCATTGAGGAAACTGGATTAAAGAGGACCCAAAAAGACACACTGTTTGCAAAACTTGTAGCAAAAAAATGTGCTTGGCCTTAGGGCTCATTCTTCAGTTCTCAGCTGCTGTACTGGGACTAAGTATTCACACTGTTGGCTAGAAAAGTATCCTTCCTCTATGTATCTGAAATTACAGATCCCGTAATTACGGACCCACAGATGGCAGAGATGCTCTGTTACACGCTCAGCCAGGACTAATTGGATCTTCCCAAGAGGAGTCAAGGATAGATTTTTCCTTCAGTTCCTGATGTACTTTACCCAAAACAGTCAAGACTATTCTACATTAAGTTAACAACTGAAATAGCCTCCAGACAAAAAGTGGACAAGTAGTCATAAAGCTTCCTAAAAGATATGCTTTGATGCAAAATGGGACATTATGACAATTATCTGTGTGTCTTATAAAGTTTCCAAAATTTGGAGATCTTTGAAATGTCACCATCTAGAAACCACAAAAATATCTCCAAGAGCATTCATTGAATCAGAATATTCATTAAAGAAGGCATATTTTGTTTGTCAGCTACCTGACACTAAATGAAACTCAACAACCATGAGGAAAGCATAACCTTATCTCACCAAAGAGAGCAGTGTAATATACACAGTCCCACAAAACATCCAGCAAATCATCAGGAGAACATCAAGTCAGGTTTTCATCTGTCTTCAGGTTTTTGATGAGGGTATAATTTGTTATGAGAAACAGTAAATACATATTTATACTTGCATATTCCCTGGCTCACTTTACAACCTACTCAAGTCAATGTCACAAAAAAGATTCAAATATATTTTTATTTAACTAATAGTTTTAATGTATCTATACTACAATGACCACATGCATTAAATTAATTTTAAAGAAACTGAAACTGCATCTGACAGAAAGTGTTAGGATTACAAAACACATGTTGATACTAGTAATTACACCAGAGGGTAAGTGTTCATAATTTACTTTCCTTTCAAAATATACAAATAAAAATTCACAAGTGCCACATTTATTGAATTATTATACCTACTTTTACTCCAGGTATATGCTTATATATTTGTGTGAGTACAGACACATGTTCTGTGCACATACAGACACAGATATATTGACACATACATTAATGTATTGAATTGCCTTCCCATGGTTTCTTCCTTCACATGCTTCTTGTATTTTTAAATGGTAAGCTCTTCTCTGTGAGAATAATATCTCCTCATGCCATTGGCATGGTGTTTGTATTCCAAAGAGGCTTATTTCTGACTAAATTCTGTGTTGCTGTGATTCAAATGTGAAGTAACGGTCCCTGGTGGGGATTTGTCCAACATCAGTGAGCAAAGCATGATGACTCATCCAAAATGTAATAAAAAATTATGAATAAATTTTGAATATTTATGAATAAATAACTACAATTTTGAAAATGTATTTTCCAACAACATGTATGTCAACTTAATATTGTGTGCATTATCCTATGGGATAAAGTTATGCACAAGTTTTCAAAATTTGTTAATACCATATTGCATATCAGTTTACCAAAACTTTTGTAGCAGGAAAATAAGAAGGAAAATTATGACAGAACAATAATCTCAGGAAAACAAGATCATCAGATATTAACATCATTTCTTTTCGCTATTTTAATATTTCTCATGCTTTAATTAGTTTTTGTCTTCTTTGTAGTCTTACACACAAAACCACAATGAAGACAAAAGACATTCATCAGACATTCATTTTAACTAGATTTCTTAAATATTCATTACCATGATGTGTTCCAGTTTGAAAATCTAAAACTGTTCTAATTGTTTCACTTCCTAGGGCATCCCCTTTCAAAAGTAGTGATTCTGTTATTTAACAGATAACACGTGTGTACTTGCTGTTTTGCTGTTGATGTTGACTTCTCTCCTCTATTTCCCAATTTAAAGAACTAAAGAAGGAATATATAGAATGTGCTTTTAAAAATTTTATTTATTTTTTTATGAAGAAGATAGTTTGGAGTTCAAATTTTCTACCCAAGGACTCACTACGAGTCTGTGAAAGTAAAAGATCTTGAATGGAGAAAGTTTATTTCCACCACACAAAGGACAGGTCTGCTTCTATTGAATTAAAATACAATGACCACAAGATTCATGGATACAAAGCGAAAACATTCCACCTTTTTGTTACAGAAAGAACTCCAGTGACTGAACAGACTCAAAGAGATCTATTGCAGGCAAAAGAGGAAGAAATGCTTAAAAGGTAAGAGGGGAAATGGGAAACAAGAGAAGACATCTCTGATAACACAAGTCTGTGAAGTTATTATGCAGGTGCGAAGTGTTGCTAATTCCACATTTAGATACTCCTAGTTCTGTCTGATGATACCTCACATTCATATAAATAAATGCTCTGTGTTGCACTCTCTAATTCACAAACTAGGATTTTCTGGACATAGTGTCTGAAGTAGCAATGCCTCTGGTAGAAGGACAAATTTCTATTCTGGTTAAGCAGAAAAGTACTGCTTGTCTTCTTGAAGGCTCAGCAGACTGGATGGGAGCAGCCACGAGTGGTGAAAAAATGTTTCTGTTTATTAGCGTGCCAGAGGAGTAAAATGGTCCTTGACATGAAAGACAATTCAGAGCACCACCACTACGCTTGCCTTTTGATATTCAATCTACCTTGGTACCTTCTCTCCATAAATTCAAAAAGTGACTTCAGTAATATTTAGAATGCATACATCGGCTTTTCAAAACAAAGGGAAAAAAGTTTCAGGCAGGAGCAAAAAAACTGGTGGCAGGAAAGCTAGCCTAAACCTACACTGACTTTAGGGTACTGAACTTGTATTCAAGTTGTATTATCTCTGACATGGTTTTGAGCATTCCTACAGTTGTTTTTACTGGACATTCACTTTTTCACTGGCAGCCTGCCTGTCCTGTTTCTTCAGCATATGATGCATTCTGATGTATATAAGCATATGCCACAGAAACATATATGAGATACTGGGAAATGCTCAGTCAGGTGCAGTACACACAGACTTTCAAGGTAATTTCATGCCTGGATCCAAGGCAAGTAATACTGCAAAAATATTTCCTCTTCAGAATTCACCAAGAATTGTTTCCAAACAAATTTGAGCATGGACTCATGAATGTGAGGCAAATTTAGGCTTCCATACAGCTAAGTTAATTGACTGAATTGCAATTCATGTAGACTCAGATTTATTTCACACCTGTCTCAGACATGTTCTAATTTTTATCCTCACACAGTGAATGATAATACAGTATAATCTGTAATTTTACTTTGAGAAACTGGGAATAGATCACATAGCATAAAACTATGTCTTTGAAAAAGACAGAAAGATACAGGTGAGAACTTTCTGAGTACATTATTGAGTTACAAAAATAATCAAAACAATATAAAATCATCTCTAGAGTTGATTGTCTTCCTATAACAAGGGCATTTTAAATAGACTTGGCCTTATTTTAATTATACAGATACCAAGGAGTGTTTTAACATGAATTTCAACAGTAAACGAGCAACATCAGTATTTAAATATTTGTGAAATATTTATGAAAAAGAATTTAATATTTACATGCAGAATGCTCTTTCCTTGCCTTCTGTTAAATGCTGAATTCCTGGGGAATATTTATTAAAGTACTTTCCAAAAAACATGTTAAGGATTTTTAGAAGTCAATGTGTAGCTTTGGAAAAGGTAGTAATTTAATGAAGAATTTGAAGTGATATTTCATTTATGAAGTTTTATTCTAGTACTTTGTATTTTATATCCCTCTGACATGTTTGACATTTTCATGATGAGGATTTAATAATAAAACAATAAATAAATAAGTTAGGCTCCATCTAGAAATTAAGCTCTAAGAGCACCTCTTGCTCTTGGCAATTAATTCAAATTGAAATGTTTCACTGCCGTGACTTGAGGATTAGATAAGTTCCTTAAACTTCTGCTTTTTTCTATTTGCGTGTATTGTTTTATATTTTGAGTAAGCCTGTTTAAAAGACATTGCAAAATATATATGCTTATATGCATAAAATGAAATACTTGTTCATACCTTCAAAGTATTCAGCATTTATAGGCTGTGTCTTCCCTGGTGGTTTCACAGAGAGATGTTTATTTTCATTGTTTTTGAACAACGCCAGGCGCACAGCTGGGTCTAGATGACAAGAACAAGTTAAAATCAAAGGTCAGACCTGGCTCATTCATTCCTTCAAGCAGTTTTTCACCTTTTAGCCACTTAATAAATGAAAATACCTTTAAAAGTAGGTTTTATATTCACAAAGGATTACACATTCTAAAATAAAGCCATATAAATACACATGTGACTGAGAATCAAAGTCATTGTTTGCAATTCTAACACTGTTGATCTTTCAGCTCACTCTACAAATTAAACTCTAAAGCATGTATTTGCAGATAATATTTTTTAAAAATCTGTATTTTAAGCTTGAAATTAAAGCAGAAATATTAAAAGGGTACATATCAAGAAGTGTTTCTAAAAGCTTTGGGTCAGAATTATTCAGCAGTCTAAATTAAGATATTTACACCTAAAATATGTTAACAAGGGTTAACTTATTTTTTGAGGCTATGTTTTTAGATAAAAACCTAGTCTTCCTCCATCTGCCACCCTAATTGAAATTTAAAAATTGAAATTAAAAAATACCCCAGAAGTCTACATGCTGAAGTGTGAAATCTTGCTTGTTTCTTAACTGTTACTTTTAAAAGTTTGCAAAGAGGTAAAGATGAGCAGATAACTGTGTATAAATCTATATATGACATGTTCCTCGACTGGCCAAAAAAAAAAAAAAATAGTTTAATTAACAAAAGCTACACGTATGCAAAAACCCCACAAGTCAGGAGAAGTGATTTTCGTACATTATTTACAATGTGAAGGAAGAATTTTTTGCTTGGCACAGGAGTAAAGTCAGAGTTTAAGGGAAACAGTGCATTAGAAGGAATGTGAAAATTGAGGGCACAATGCATAATAAACCAGAGATAATACTAAAAAAAAAAAAAAGATTGAAAAGAATGTAGAAACAAAAGCAGATAGATAATGATGAGCAAAGTATGGAAAGTTTTGTAAGTATGCCATGAAGCAAGGTAATATGATTAACAGAATGCCAAAGAAAAGATAAAATAAATATGTTTAAAAGAACGCAGTAGCCCAGATATATCCACTCTCATGAGAAACAATGAGGCAGAAGAAGCTTGTCTACAAAGACAACTAAAAAGTGTCCAGAAAGGGTAGAAATTAGTAATGAGGAGAAAAAAAGTAATGGAACTTCATCAAGAAAGTTGAAATGGCAAGGGAAGGATTTAAATTTTCTCAAAGAATGTGCCTGTAGCAAAAGTGAATATATGAGACACTGCCAGAACAGACAGAGCAGGAAAACAGGCTATGGAAATACTCAAAGAGCATTCAGACACAATACATTGAAATTACTAGTTACATCTGGTGCTTCATTTTGAGTCTGTTACATTATCTCATTAGTGTTTAGAGAGAGTTTATAAGACCATGACAATACTGCAGCAAAGTAAATATCTTTTTTATTTGTCATTTTCTTATTTCTGAATTACCAGAATATCCCGTTAAGATGGTGGGCAACTTCTTATGAATTTTAACAACAATTTGTAAATTTGGTTTTGACTAGCCCTCTACAGCTGTAGTACACACATCGATTACAAACTAATGGTACGTAAAGTGATCCTAAGAGCTTTTTCCCAGAGAATGAGAAGATCAATGACAAGCCTGGAGAAGCTCTCTAATGGGGAATGGCACTCTAAGAGATAATGCATTGGCAAAACACGTTAAGATATCACAGTGTTCTTGGCCAGCCCACATTGCAACAACCATTGTGTGGTTGGCAGAATGGCCTTCATAGTGCTAACCTCTCACAAAGCAGCAAACTTTACTGCTGAAGGGATGGTGACAAGTGGGGAAGGAGTAAATTAGGTCATGCCTTCTTCACAAGGCAGAATCAGTGATACCTTACAATTTGTTATCTCAAATTGGCTAAGAGCTTCTCTCATGTGGTTGTAGGATGATTATAGCTTTCAGATTAACCCAGATGATGTCATATTTAGAGTAATTTTAACTCACTTTTACTAGCTAAATTCCATTAAACCATCCAAGAAGCAAAATAAATAATGATTAGCTCCATTAGTTTCAAAGGTGGATTATTAGAATTATTCTGATAATAGGATAATTTTATTCACAAACTGTATTGCCAGGTTTGTAGATTCTTTCTCTCTATATAAATGGATAAAGTAGCCTTTCAAATGAAAAAAAAAATTATCAGACTAGTGTTCATCAGCGTCGACAATTTTTGGGGATAGTGAATCACTGTAATATTTGTGATTAAAATACCTTGAAATTGTATTACATTACACTTTAAAAGTTCTCCTTGAAATTTTAGATAATAGAAGTTAAAAAAATATTTTAAGCATAAATTATTATTGTCTGCTGTATAGTTCTAAGGTATATGGCCATCCACGTCCCGCACATGGATAAAAATGGACAAATACAATTTTTTATAATTGTAATTTCTCCAACATCTAGCATGCAGTGTTGACAAAAAAGACTTCTAACTTCTTCCAGGTTTATGCTGGTTACAAAAACCAGTGTCTTCAATAAAAGACCAAAGTGACAAAATTAAATAAAACTCCTAAGACAAAATGCAATTGAAAATTTCCAAAGTAATTTTGATTCATTTAAAATAATTCCTGAAGTAATATACTTTTTCCTATGTGGGTCTATCAACATTGCTCCAAAATGCTTTTAAAGTATCATCTTTCCTTATCCAGACTCCTGTCCATTCTATGAAAACACCAAGTCCAAAGTTAAACTATACTAAAAATTTTTGGTGAAGTCACTCAGAGTTATTACTCCTAAGTTAGATTTCTCAAACATTTATTTGTGCACAAAGATACGAGCAGCAAAGTCTTCTGTGAACTGGGAAGAAGGGGAAATAATAGAAATTGTTCTTCTAAGAGATTTTCGTCAGAACATTTATCTTTGAATCTTTGCAAAATAACTTAAAGAATTTACATGGATTTAACACAGTGCCAGACTACTTGAATTTGTACCTACCTGGATCACCTCAACCATTGCCTACAGCTCTTCTGTTATTAAAAATGAGTCCTTTTCTTTATCTAGTCCCAAATGTAAGCAATATTACATAGATTACTTCATAATACTAGTGCTTTTCAGTCTCTGAGTGAGCTAGGGAAATGAGCTACATATATGCTTTGATGATGAGCAATCAAATGTTTTAGATTTCACACAGAGAACTGTGAAAGAGTCCAATAGTTCAAAATCATAGAAATATCTTCCTGGATTCAGGCATAATGATTTAAATATGGCTTATCAGATGATGATCTGTGCTCTCAATCTAGAAACCAGGGAGGTAATTTAATGTACATTCCTTGGCTGCCTCCAAATATCAAAGTTAAGCTGGACAAACACAAAATATGTTATAGAAATAATACGGAAGGAGTAGTTACTGCCTGATCTGGCAGCACATTCCTAAGCTTCTTGTTAATACATGAAACCGAAAAATTAACATATTTGCTATTCATTTTTGTTGTGCAATACCTGTAATTAGGAAAACATAAAGATAATGTGACAACTTTAAAGAGATTATAAGACAAAGTTGCACACAGCAACAGATGTTTATCTATACTGTAAATTCATTTGGAAAAAAGACCAGATTTTGTTCCATAATGGCATAGCAATTAGAATTCCAACTCATCCATGGCTGGAGTTCCCAGGAGATACTTCTATGCAGAACTGACAATCACAACAAAAGTAGCTTTTTTCCTGTTACCAAGAAAATGTAGATCAATGGTCATTCATGTAATAAGTAATAAGGAACAATAATATGCCACAAATTTTCATTCTGACTGTTAAAATGGATTATCTGTTTTGGGGTTGTGTATTTGAGGAAAGTGGGTTGAGTTTTTTACTGGTTTTTATTTAATTTTTTAACTAGTATTGAATTGCTGTCTAAAATTCTAAACTTGAATGAAAAATATTTGCTGACCTCTATGAATATCTTTATCCCTTTGTTCTGGTTCTAATGACCAAGGTCCACTTCTGCTGCTTTTTACCTTTTAAAATTTTTTTTTCCTATCTATGTGGCATCAAGTATTACCATAGAATCATAGAACCATTAAGGCTGGAAAAGACCTCCAAGATCATTAAGTACAACTTTTGATGAAACACCACTGTGCCAACTAAAGCACAGCACTAAATGCCATATCCAGTAAATTCCTGAACGCTTCCAGGGATGGTGACTCCACCATCTCCCTAGGCAGCCTGTTCCAATGTTTAACTAAACTTTCAGTGAAAAATATTCTTCCTGATGTCCAACCCAAACCTGCCTTGGCACTGCTTGAGGTGATTTCCTCCTGTTCTGATGCTGGTTGCCTGAGAGAAGAGACCAATCCCCACCTGACCACAGCCTCCTCACAGGCAGTTGTACAGAGCAATAAGGTCTCCCCTAAGGTTCCTCTCCTCCAGGCTAAACATTCCCAGTTCCTTCAGCTGCCCCTCACAGGATTTGTCCTTCAGACCCTTCCCCAGCCCTGTTGCCCTTCTCTGGGCATTCTCCAGCACCTCCATGTCTTTCTTGCAGTGAAGGGCCCAGAACCAGACACAGGACTCGAGGTGTGGCCTCGCCAGTGCCAAGCCCAGGGACACAATCCTGCTCTGCTCCTGCTGGCCATGCTATTGCTGATCCAGGCCAGGATGCCATTGGTTTTCTCAGCCATGTTCATGGGCACACGCTGGCCCATGTTCAGCTGCTGTCAACGAGCATCTCCAGGTCCTTTTCCTTTGGGCTGCTCTCCAGTCATTGTTTCCTAAACCTGCAGCGCTGCCTGGGGTTGTTGTGATCCAAGTGCAGGACCCAGCACTTCACTTTGTAGAACCTCATGCAATTGGCCTTGGCCCATTAATCCAGCATGTCCAGATCCCTCTGCAGAGATTTTCTGCCCTCCAGCAGAAAAACTTAAGTGTCATCTAAGCAAATTTACTGAGGCTGCCTTTGATTCTGCACACCCACCCCCACCCATGTTCATCAATTAAGAGACTGAAGAAGACCAGCCCCAGTGCTGAGCTCTGGGGAACCCCACCATCGACCAGCTGCCAAGTGGATGGGGCATCATTCACTACTGCTCTGTGGGCCTGGCCATCCAGACAGTTTTTAAGACAGCAAAGAGTGCACCTGTCCAAGCCAGCTTCTCCAGGAGAATGCTGTGGGAGTAAGTATCAAAGGCTTTACTGAAGTCCAGGTAGACAACATCCACAACCTTTTCCTCACCCAGCAGGTGAGTCATCTGGTCATAAAATGAGATCAAGCTGGCCAAAGCAGGACCTGCTTTTTCTAAACCTATGCTGGCTGGGCCTGATCCACTGATAAGAAAACTTTTTTGGAGAGGAAAACATTAAGCAAGAAGTAATACACCAATGTAGGAGAGACAATCTTAGAAGAGACAATCTTAGAAGAGACAATCTTAGAAGCAAAAGAAGTTAACTGAGAGGCTAATATAAAATCCACGGGATGAGGGAAATTCCAAGTTAAGCAAGAAATTTGGTACAATTGTGCCAAGACATCTTTAGGAAGCTAAGATTGTTATGAGTCACAGCCACTTAAGCACCATGAGGTGCAATAATGTCTGCTGTATTTAGATTTTGAATTAGAATTTCTATAGAATATTATGCACCCAGGTTAACAGAAACATTTCTGACATGATGCCAGTGTTACTTGGCTTCAAATTTCTGGTTTCTTGCCTACATGTTTTGTATTATCTTAATATATGGTAAAAATAGTTGAAGCAGACCCAGCATACACTTCATATCAGTAAAATGCACGCCACAATTTTCTTCAGCTATATAAACAAGCATACATAACAGTAGTGGATTAGGGCACACAGGCCTTAAGGCCATTAGTTGGTGGGACTGGTCTGCTGCAATATAAGCCTTGCCTGAATCACTCCCTATCATAAGGCTATGCTACTTTAAGTTCACTCTTCCTTGCAATACAATACAAATTCACTGCACTTGCTCATATTTTCCATACTTTTTTCTTTACTGTGAAGATATGTGGCCAGACATATGAGGTAAGACACTTCTCAGTTACTTTTACATATCTACAGTTTAACTTTGTACTTCAGCAATTCAGTCTAGCTTTTGAGTCTAGGCAATGGAGAACTATAACTGCTTTTACAGTAAGACTCAAGTAGCCTGTTTTTGAATTATGTTCTCAGAGGAATTTTTTTTCCATAAAACAATGCAGATGACTAACTCAGATGTGGACTTCTATAATTAGCAAATGGTTGCCATCACTGTTGCACTAGTAGAAGACAAATGTTTTATTTGGAAAATAAAAAGGAATAAATTCCCAGAACCTGAATATAGTAAGGATCAAAGATGTTCAGGGCTGTCCAGTCCAGGTTCCAACCCAGCAGATGTCTTGAAAGTATTAAAAAGCAACTGTGTAACTCTCTGAATGCAAGCATTTGTGAATCTCAGCTCTAAGATAAAGGACTTTGACAGCATATGGAACCAGAAAACAGTGACAGCTAGTTTGTTCCAAGAGGATCCATCAATACCTTATTATTACCTGCAAGTAATGAGATCTTTACACAGAATGATCTACAGCATAGAAAAGATGTTTGGGATTACACTGCAATCTCAACATAAAAACTACAGATTTAATGTTAAGAGCTTATAATTTATTTACATCTAGAATCTTTGCATTTTCTCAAAGCTTGATTTACTTCCAAGTCAGATGTGTAAGTAGGTATAACAGTGAAAATTGCTTCTTTATACATTATAATTCCCACTTCTAAGTGGCTGCTGGTTACTTACTTTCTAGTGGGTATGAATGTTTATCACAAACAAAATTATTTTCTTGCAGTTAGCATACTTCAGCTACTTTCAATTAGAAAGCTAAAAAAGAAATGGTTGTAATTACAGCACTGAAGACCTGGAAATCCAAAAGAAAGAACAGAAATAGTATTGCTAAAATGAAATCTTACAACTTTCCATATGTATATCACTAAGACAAATGAACCTCATTTCAGTGGAGATGAAGGCAATGGGATGGTAACTTGTATGGGAACATTAAAAGACAATGTTGACATTTACTCTTTCAGATGAATTTTAATCTGCTTTTGAATATTAGAAGGAATCAAATCTCTCTTGTAATTCCTGCTTCAGTAGGGTTAAACTCTAAGCAATTCCCTCAGTGTGAACTGCCTCTCCCCAGTTATACTGAAATTGTATAATGCTCAAAAGTTCCTCTCTTCCACCAGACCCTCAAAAAGACCCTGATTTACTCCTCTTTCAGAAGATGTACCTGATGGAAAACATAATTATGTATGTGAAGATTCTTTTCACACGGAGAATATTTGATCAGAATAATTTTGTTTTTTAGTATAAGATCAGAGCTTTAAGATCAATTAAAAATAAAAATACTGTTTTGATTGATGATTTCCATTATCAATTTCCATTAATAATTTCCTTAGAGAACAAGGAAGGACTGTATGTCAGTATGTTGTATGAAAAAAAATAGTCAGCTTGATAACCTTTTCAAAGGGATGGAGTGAAATATTTTCAATCACATTTTTTGGTACTTTAAACTATGCTTTCTGTTCATCTGAAAAAAACCCTGTGATTTTAATGACTGACAGAGAAACCCATACAGGCAAATTATATACACAGGTTATTTTTGTGCTTGATGTAACAGTCAGAAAGATAAAAAAATTTTCTATGAGGCAGTGTCAAGAGGAGAAAATTTGAAACTATAAAAACATTGGGCAAAAGGTTTTTCAATTTTTTTTAGACTAGCAATGTACTTTGAGAATATTCCAAGCACTACATTAAAAAGCTCAACACCCATACATCATGTCGAATAATCTGAACAAAATGAACATAAACATACCCATGAAATCCATTAGAACTACAACAAAAATAGGACAGCAAATTTGATATGCTCAATCAGACATCTCTGACTGGATTAATTACTAACATAAGACAGACAGCATATGGAGAAAAGAAGATATAACCTAATAAGTTTTATTCATTGAAAAATTATAGAGAGGCCCAAAAATGGAATATATAAAAAAAAAAACTCAGCTGCACACCAGACACTTATTGCTTTTTTTTTTTTTTTAAATAAGGTAAGATGGTAGGGCACCATGGAAAGCTATGAAGATTTCAATATATTAATTTTTATTCATATACTCCCATTTCCACAAAGCATGATTTGTGGATTACACGTCTTTTTATCACCTATCCCTTTTATTATTTTTTTAAACTATAGATAATTTTTATCCTATTTAGTCTTAGTCATAGTTATGATATTTGAAGCAGAAAAAAAATTACAGAAAAAATGTTGCCTAGATATATCTCTAGGCTGTTTTTTCCCTTCAAAGAGCAAAACATCTTTCAATATTTTCAACACTTAATACAGAAGAGTTTTGCAAAGTTATGCAGAAGTGTGTTGCTTGTGATACAAAATACAAGTAAATAAGGGTGCATTTTCTAACGACCATTTAGTGTTAGGTCCTATTGTCAACAAGAATCTTAAATGTTCAAATGTTTCTTGTACTATCAGTATTTGACTAATATGTTTATTAATATATTTCAGTAACTTTTCTTTTAGCATATCATATTAACAACCTCTAAGAAAGGTTCATTGACATTAGAAGTATCTGAGAAGAACCAGAACACAATTGGATGAGAAGCTGTATAAGTTTTATCTATTTCCACAGTAAATACATAATTAAAAAAATTTAATTATGTACTTTCAAATATATCAAACTGCTGTTTGCATAAATAGTTCTTGTGTAAGTCAAAATTTTTAACCTAAGATTTTCTCAAGAAGAAAATACAAGAAACACAAAATGCAGAAAAACAAATTCCACATCTAGAAGACGAGATACATGAACAGGAAGAAATATAATTTCTGCTTACCACAGCTGTCAAATATTCAACTTCAAAATCCAGTAGAATAGTTTTTAAAATCTAAATATGTTGATTTAAACTGAATTTTTTTTACTGAATCACACTCCACCTTATTCAAATTAATGTTTAATGTTGTACCAGCAAAGTTTTTAAAAGAGAAGTACTATTTTAAGAATGTAAAAATTACATCAATATAACCATTAATTTAACTGTTGACTTACCTAAACTTTTATTACTGTATTTTTTAGGTTTCATTTTATGGGCCCTCTTCAGCATTAGCTGTGCAGTAGAAATATCCTTAAAACCCCTAAGGGAAGAAAATAACTTACTAAATATTTCACTTGTATTATGTTACACCAGCTGCATATTATTGTATAATACACTTTTAAAAAAGAATACTGGTGTGTAGTACTGATCCACAGTATGAAACTTTCTGAGTTACAGAGATACCTGCAATTCTTATCTTAACATTACATTATTGAAACTCATTAAGATAGTTTCCTAGACACAAAAATAATTACAATAATTTTTACTTTGTAGAAAACAGAGATTCTTCAAAAGTGGAACTTAAAAAAACCAAGCAACACAGCCAACTATACTATACCTATTCTTGAAAGTCACTGTGTAAATAAAAGAGCTTAACATACCATTCTTCTGATATTTTCTCTTCTTTTTCTGACATAAATAAAAACTCCTTTTTTTCATTCCAGTTAGAAAGCTGTGACTTTGTTTCCTTCCCTGACCTGGAAAGAAAGTATGAGAGCAGTACTGAAAGGTAAGTAAATAAGAAAGGGTCTGGGGTTATACTATTTTGCAGCCTTTGTTATTCTGAAACTTGTTTGTGCCTTTTAAAGGCACTTTTGAAGCTTGGAAATGATACCAAAAAAATCCATTTTAATACTCCACGAAGGTTTTATCTTGGAGAGTAATAAAAGTCTGCCATCAATTTGAAATGTTTACATTTCAATTACTTGAAGCATATTTCAGTCCTTTCACAGAATGCAGCTGTTTAAGAAATCCCTTTTAATCTTTATCTAGTCTTCAAGATCTCTATTTCAACATCTATTTCATAACATATATGAAAAAATAGAAGTTTTATGATTTATAGTCACATCTAAATAAATAAAATTACACATATATATTATTATATTCCTAATTACAGTAGTCAATGAAAAAATAACAACAACATTTAATAAATTTTTAGAAAGTAAATATATTTTAACTCCAGTAATATCACATTGACCAAAAGCAGCAAAAGCATCAGAAAATAGCTTCTTCTTCTCCTTCTTATTTTTGTCAAAATTAACTAAATACAGTTTAAACCAATATAATTTAACTTACCTGCTATGAAAATGGATTTTTTCTGCTGAGTATGAATGTGGTCTGTTAGCATACTGCCAAACTTCTTGTGGTGCTAATGGCAAACTATTTGAATGTCCACTGGAATCTGAAGGCCTAGAAAACTTCTAAGAGAATGAAAAGGAATGCAGCTGATTGTCCCCATAAGTTTGAGTTTAAAGTGTGCAGGAAAATCTGCACCAGGGTTTGCAGAGTTTATCACTATAACTAAAAGGATTCTTAATGGTGATATGCTCATTACTGACCTTATTTTCAACTAACTGAATAGGACAAAAAGGGGACTTTAGTTACACTTAACATCCCCAAATATAATAATTTGTACATTTATAAGACTCTTTTCTCTTAATTGTAGGAAACAAAACATTAGTAATACTATGCTTGTAATACAAATACAAAGCCCTACAAAAACCAAAAGCCAAAACTTCAAAGTTTATCTAGCAGACATTACAGTTCGATGACCTTTAGCTGTTCTGAAAACATTCAGCTGTTGTCATATAATGCAGATCTTAGTATTTTTAAAGTAGTTTGTCAACTAGTAATTTTTACTCCATTGCCAAATGTGCAGATGAAGCACATCATCTTTTTTTTCTGCTACTGTGAAGTAAAGTGTTGAAATAAATCCAAAATAAAGAAAAAATAAGCAAATGAAAGAAAATCAAAAAGAAAAATTGCATCTGGAGATGAGGAGGAAGTCTGAGACTTCTAAAAGTAATTGTATTTTTAAGTCACTAAATTGTCATATTAATCACCTCAGAATAGCATATCCTTAAAGAATGAATAAAGACTGAAGAGTAAGTTGTTTCTGTGACATGTTACCTTTGGCCAATGCAGCTGGTTTGAGAGCAGGAGTGTTTTTGAAGGGAAACGGGTGGAATCCAGAGTTAGCCATTCCTTCTCTAATGCGGCCTGCATGAATGAGCAAAGTCAAATAGTGCACTGATAAAATCAGTTTAGTTTTGATAACTCTTGCAAAGTCTCTTTTAAATTGTCTTACATACTTTTTCAAGCTGTACATCAGAACTGCCACCTGTAGAGCAATCAGACTCAAAGCACCTTTGGAGATGCTGAGCTGTACTGTTTTATTTTAAACAAATCAGATCAACAGCATTTGTAGGTTGTAGAGGTCCTTTTTGGGTTTTGTATAAGCTGCAACCTCTCTTTCTCAAATTCCTGTAATTTTATTCCAAGATTGTTAGTAAACCCAAGGTATTATAAAAGACTGACAAAGTTTGAAAAATACAGACCTAAGATACTTAAAGGCATAAGGAATATGAAGTGCTTTGTGTGCTGTTTTTGAATGAGTATTTTACGTCCAGATGTAGGTTCCTGATTCTGTCAAATTTGTTTTTGTTGAACTGAATTGGTGAGTAATTTTCATTGAAATTTGGGGTTAAAAAGTAAGTTCTATATAATGCGATATGCTTCAATTATGTAGTTTTATTTCTGATGTAATGGATTAAATGGGGAACTAAAATAATAGTTGGAATGAAGAAGGGTGACAGAATTAGTTGCTAACTGGTGTTCTTAGCACTTTAAGGTAGAATTCAGTTTTCTTTCATAAAAACAAGCTCTAGGCATTGTTTCAAACCCAACCTCTATATTACTTGTTTTTCTTATAGGTCCTTGATGTTTTTTACCATGTCTTTTCAACTTATTCTGATAAGTGAGAGAATCAAATCATTCCCACAAAGTAAGTAAATACCACTGAAGAATTTGGCTTGACTTACAGGGCTCAGTCATTCAGGTTCTTCTTACTTCAACAGCAAAGAGCCTGGGGTTCATTCTTTTGAAAATGTCTGCTTATGAAACTGGACTATCTTTCTCCCATTCACAAAATATTTCATGTTGTACTGATTTCTGACCTGAGAAAGGATGCTAAGTTTGGATACCTTACTGTACAGTTTGTGGAAACAGGACTTTGTACAGCTTTAGATTGGTAAACAAGATCTTCCAAGGCCTTTGAAATTCTGAGAGACAAAAGAACCATATTCCAGGTATTTTGAAAGGTTACTTCAGGTACTGGTAATGTGATTTGGTGGCTCTAAGACCACTCTTTCTGCTTCCATTCTGACCAAGCTTTGAAAAATAATGTTTGATTTTATTTTCATGTCTTAAAAGGGATGAATTCCTACATCTGATGGACTCCCTGCTTCTGGAATTCCTTATTATTTGATTACAGTATATTTTGGGCTTCATTCCTTTTTCTGGAAAAATTCTATGCCCTCATTATTAACAGATAACCACTCTTCCTCTCCTCAACATTTCAATTCATGATAAATACATAACATTATCCATTTTATTCTACCTCCTCTCTTGGGAAGTTGTGTATGTTAAGAAATCTATGTAAATAAACTGCAGAGGCATGTAAAAAATAAAATGTATCACATTCTTTAATAGTTAGCTACAACCCACTAATTTATCTTTCCTCATTGATGTGATTACTGTTATGCTGATCACCACTGAGTGGTTGACTCACCTAATTGTCATTAAAAAAAATTCATTCCAGAAAGTAGACTGTAGTAAATCAAATCCCAAAGGTGATAAATTAAATATGTGACATTGGTAGTATTTGAACATAGAAGACTGACAAGTTCATATCTCAGCAGAGACAAAGCTACAATAATTCCAGCAGATTGGTCAAAATGAAAAATTATGAAAAGGTACAACATCTGATTGAAAATTTCTGGTGAAAATAAATATTATTCCTCCTTGTACTCTTTAAATTTACTTCTCAATTGCACTAAGCAAATCCTATTTTGAATCTTTCAGATGAGAATTTTTCACTTATTTTTCATGACTGGGCCTACAATCCAGTCAACAGTGCTGGTAATATACAGGTATATAAAAATAGCAAATTTTGGAAATTTTTCTTCCTCCTCTATTTGCAAAAGAATCCGTACAGGTGGGAGAGAGGTAGATTTCCACTTGTTGCACAATTTAAATGTCAATCAACTTAATCCGTGTGTACAGTGATGTGTCCATTATTTACCGGAGTACTTAAAGGTCTTCCAGTAGGAGTGAATATTATCCAAGCTCTAATATCAAATTTCAGGCCAAGCCTCCATGCTGGCTAGTTGATTTTTTTACTTCTCTGATGAAACAGTTTGTAAAAGAAAAAAAAAAAAAAACCAACAAAAAAACCCCAAAACCAAACAAGCAAACAAACAAAAAACTAAACCAAACCAAAAATCCCAAAGAGAAATAACACTCCAAAGATGTAGCCAATTTTTTGGGAACAAGAATCACTTAGAAGTACATTGACTGAATCCTTTTGCGTTATAGTTGTACTATAACCCAATTAAACTCTTAATATTTATATTGAAACTTGTCTCTAATATTTTCCTAGCCCAGTGTTTGCCACTTATTAATTTAGTACTACTAGTGGTTTTATTTCTTTTGTAGCCTAAAATGTAATTCAGTGTCCTAACTGTTGAAAAGAAACATCAGTAAACAGATAAAAGTATGAATCAAAGGTAAAAATATGCACAACAATAAAAAAAAGACAGCTTATTTACCATTAAGTACATATTTTACTTCTATAAATGTACAGCATATAATGAAAATATACCACACTGATGTTTGCTTTGTCCACAAAAATAAACACAATTGATTTTCAAACATTCCCTTCCACTATGTTTTGCCTGGACATTTTCACAGCACTAAGCTCAAGAAACATCTGCCCACACTTTCCCTATAAACAGTCCTAATGAAAAGTTTATGACAGATTTACCAACACCTAAGGCTTAAAACTAGATCTCTTTGTACAGATATTGTTCACTAAGATTAAAAAACAATAACCTGAGAGGAACTACAAAGCAAATAAAATGACAGTTTTTGACTGTATGGTCTATACTAACAGCTATAGGTGTGTTATACTTGTATTTAATAATACCTGAATACTCAGGTATAGAATGTGGCTTTACACATATGTGTAAATCACACACAGTTTATTTAACACATATTAGTTCACCTGAAGATATCTTATATGCTTTTGTATCCTCCATGCTTTATTTCCAGTGTTTATTTCAAAAAAGTCTGTATTAATTACTTTAAGTTTCAGGTTTCACAAACACACAAAACATACATAGAGCTTTCTATTTGTTTTTGTTTGCACCTTTTTTTTTTTTTTGTTAACCCATTTGAAACAAATTTTTAAATTTTTAAACACAATCTTATTATCCATGACACCACTCTTCAGGAAGAAGGACATGTGAATCTGTTTGGTGTCAGGATTTTCTTTCTGAATTTTAATAATGAAACATTAATAATATTACTATTTCCATTTATCCATCCGGATAAAGAATTTTTTATCCTGATTCACAATGCATTTTTTATCCTTTGAGACACTACTACTACAGAGTTCCTCCTTTGCTTTTGTAGCTCATTACCAAACTCTGGAGCTCTAGGGATTTTTTTTTTTTCCATGGCATATTATATATAGCCTTCTTCATTTTGTTCTTCCTTCATTTTTTCAGTATTTACTCAATTGCTTCCTTTGCAAAATGCAATGACTATTTATATCAAGCATTGAACTTCTGTAGTCTCAGAAGCAGAATTCAATCCTACAATAAGCAAAATGAGGGAGAATGGTTCTGCTAACTTTAATTGGGTCTGAGTGAGCTGCCCAAAAGTTGTTTTAGTGCAAATGTTATTTACAAAATCTAATCCAAGGCATATTTTATATGCTCTGGATTACATTCTGGAGCTAAGTAATCTTTTATAATATATTATGACTCTACATGTAATTAGGGCTGTTCTGAGTACTATTTACACCATGAACAAAAAATAGTGCTCAGGACAGTGTCAAACTTACACTCAGGCTTTGAAGCGCTTCTACAAGCGCTTTGGACTAACTGTCCAAACTGTGAATAATGCCATCACATATTGCCTTTCATCTCTCTGAGATCAAGGAGGATCACAAGAGCATAATAGAAACCAAACCAATTCCTGAAACTGCACTATGGCTTGAAGCAGTGGAAGCAAAAAGGCATTAACAATACAGGCTGAAAAGAAAGGCCAGCGTTTGACATCTAACAACTCTGTTCTAGTCAGAGCAAATATCCATTTACATCAGTACTCTGCTTCCAGAAGAGTTCAGCAGCAGTTGCTTACGGAAAGAATGAAAAAAGCTGGACGCAATGAGGACAATCCTTCCTGCAGTACATTCTTTTAGACCTTGGAAACTGGTGGTTTTAAATCTTTCTGCTAAAAAAAAGGCAAATATTCCTCACCCTAAAACAGTTACGTAATTTCTAATAACAAATGTAACTATCTGGTCAGTATGTTTGCCATGTTACCTCCATGTCAACCTAGAAAGAATGCAAACCATGTATATGCCTCATAGAATGTAACTGTTGAAGTGGTGTAGAGTAACTTCAAAAGGACATCATGTTGGACACCACGGGACATGGAGCTATCCCAGGTTTCCAAGTGTGGCGGACCTCAGAACCACCACCTAAGAAAACAGTGAAACTGTCTTTGAAAATCAGAGAAAACTAACTCTTTATATTTCTTTCCTTTCTTCTTTCATCTCCTTATTGACTCATTCACTGTTTTCAGGACAGTGATGGTTTAGTCAGAAAAAAAATTATTGACATTTATGTAGTGCATTTAATTATATGGTATTTTAAGATAAAAACAAGTAAATTACACAACAATATAGACCAGCAGAAGAAAGCTAACATCCACAACATATCGTGAACTAAGAGTAATGACTGGCTCCTGATCATTATAACCTAACAAGAAGAATGGTGAGAGAAAAAAGAAAAAGAATCTGCTACCATAAACAGTATTTCCACATTAGAATTTCATAGAAATAGTGTGCACCACCCAGTGCTTTGAAAAAAGATTCACTCTTCTTTCCAGTTCATCTGCCTGGTTTTACCCAGTATGTTTTTCTGTACTTC